TAAATGTATAGCCTCCATTTTATGTCACAACCCTCCCAAGATCCTTCATCATAGGCAGCATACATATTTTATTGATAGTTCAAGTTATCAGTCAGGTCAGGTTTATTTTACTTTTATGCGTCCCAATATTTGTGTGGCATCGCTCTCCAGCTTACCCACACACACACACACACACACACACAGTGTCAGCCTTTTTTTAACTACCTGTTACTGTTTTCCTGCTGTGCTTAACGTCATTTAAAATAACTAATATATCCTATAAAACCCAGCAGCAGTAGCCTGCTCAGGTTTACAGAAATGATTAGCTGTAGGCAGGCACAACTATACGCTGAGAGAAATATGATCTGCCAGAGTGCATGATAGAAACCCACGGTAACGACCTCACATTGTGGAATTTCTCTTCAGCACTCTGTGGTAAACAACTAATGGGACCTATTTTTGTTATAGGAAAAAAATAAACGATAATCTATTACCTTTTTAGAGGGGATTAGCAACATTATATGCAACATATCTTTCTTTAAGGCCTCTTCCTCCAGCCCCTTTCTTTAATTCCCCCTCTTTTACCTCAACCACATGCCCTAAAACATGTAAACACCATGTTTTTCAGGAACAACACCAGCAGGGTGATCTGTGAATTTTTAACAGGGCTCAATGCTGTGTACCTCCAGGGCATGCGGTCTCTACTGACAGCTTTACAGGCAGCTGATTGGAGGTGACATGCCAGCACAACAAGGGAGGCCTGCAACTACCATGGCCGCCATGAAGGGTCACACATCTACCACGCATTAGTATTGCAAAACGATTTTTCAACAGATGGACCAAATTATCTTACTGCTGCAGCATGACAGGACTTATCATTTTAAACTAATTTGAGCAGAGGTTTGTGTCTCATGAGTTTGTGGAACTTTGCAGAAGTGTGTATGCCTAAAATGCCTATCGTTGGGTAGACTTTAAACCATACATAAACATCAGCCAAACTTTTTTATAAAGATTTTGTGAATTATCAGGGATGTGATTTTTCCAGATTAATCCGGAATTCCGGATGTTCTGACCTGAAAACGGACCCACGTGACTCATGCAGATCTGTAATAAAAATTTTAAAAAAGGAGCTGGACGAGTGAAGTGGAAAGGATTTGAGGACATCTACAGGCTGATGTGTGGAAAGTTTTCTTCATTTCAAAATTTCAACAAGGATGTTCGTTTGCGTTCAGCTGCCCATTCCACACCTGCGCAGTGTGTACCACAGTCGCTCTCGCGCATCAGTGGTACGTAACCTGTTGGGCAGTAATACTGTAGTATTACTTTTCCCAGTGAAGAATAGTGTGATGGAATACTATTTCCAAAACAATAATGTTATCATAGTTACCACTCATATTAAGGCTGCCCTACTGAACGCACCATCCCTGATGTGAGTGCGCGACCGCACTGCAGCTCAGCGGCACCGGAACATATCAGCAATTAGCCAAAAAGGAAGACAGGAGAAAAGGGAGGAGAGGTATTTTCGACAGCTGTAAATAACGTTGTTGCCATTACTGTGTCACAGTCTAAGATGCAAAGAACATTGTCGTCCGTTGTAAACTTTGCAAAAAGCTTTTAACTGCGAACATTTTACATTGACTTAGGCTCAATAAAGCATCAGCTAAAGCAAAACAGCAACGTGAAACTCAGAAACTCTGGTGGCTACTGCCAGTGATGCTTGGACTCATCGGGAGAGAGTGGCGCTATATCACCAGTACCCAGTAATAAGTAGGCTAGAGTAGCTAATATTACTTTTTTAAGGAGTAGCCTATGCAGGCTAACTAACTAACTAGGTAACTAGCCCAACACTGGGTTGACAATAAGCATCGGATAAATTGGGTATGATTTGATTATTGCTTGTTATAGGCTATGTGTAATGTTTACTCTGACGTTGTTGTCGATTGATCACTCATATAGCCTATATACACTTTGCTGTATGAATGGTTGCTTTTTAAGTCTTTATGTCCTTATGTTAAAGGTTTTGGCAAGTTATAAAATTTCTTGTGAATGGTTGTGACAGGGTTTATAAGGCCTTTTCAGATGGCTTTGATCCGCGGGGTTGCTCTGCGCTCCTCATCAACAGGTAACCATGGCAACGGCTTGTGTGTAACTGGCGCGAAATGTCAAACGTTTTCCTACAGTTTATCACTAGATAGAGACTGATCTGGCTGTTTGATCTGATCTGAAAACAACCTTTGCTGCTGTCTCTTATTCATTAAAAATAAACTTCTACTAAACTAATTTGAAAGTTAGTAGTTATACTATTTAGTTATAGAATCAATTATTTCATGCTGCATGTAGCACATTTAGCTGTTGAAGCTTGGTAAAAAATTTATACAAAATAATTATTATTATAGAGAGGTGGCGAAGTCGCAGTGGATTAGACACTTTTCTTTGATTCCCACTGCAACACAAGAAAATTTTTCTAATATCCAATCTAATATTTATGTATATTTAGGAAAGCCTTGTTAGATAAGTATGTTTTAAAACAATATTCCCGAAAACAAAAGTCCCTCAACTCCTTAAACAAAAACATCGCTAGCTAGCGGGACATGCACACAATTTGCTGACTTATTTTCCATATCACAACTTAAAATACAGTAGGAGACAACAAACAAATTCTCTATATAGCCTGTCTATAGCCTACACCTCGATAATGTAATCTACATCTTGTCTCCCCTTCATTCCACCAGCCTGCCCTGCCCTGCCCTGTTCGCGACCAAAGTCCCTATAGGCAAGTCCTGCCACTCAGCAGCCATGTTGGCAACGCCTCTGGCCAGTTATTTCAGACTACCCAGAACAGGCTCCTATCTAAATGAATGGGGAGAGAGCCATAACTGCACTTTCACTGGTCACTAGGATATAAAAAAGTCTGATAACTTTGCCCCAAAACAGTATCTAAAACAAGTGTTTTTGTAGTGATGCATGTGTAGCATGGCTAAATTAGTTGTGAATTTTAATAAATTTATGAGAATTAATACCCAATTATGAATTTTAATGTTCATAAAATCAAAAATAATATTCCTTGTTTTTATTATTACTAGTGATCAGTTAGTTGATAATCGCTAAATTATCTAAAATCAATCAGTCAGTCTCATATCTAAAGGGTCAATTCTCTTGGCAGGGACGTGGAAATAGGCAACACACACAGTTTCCTGATTACAGTGAATTTATTAATAACTGAAGTTAACTAATGCGATATATACGGGTGGTTAAATACAGGGAAAATAAACAATGGCTGAACAATGAGAAATGGAGGTTCGATTGTGGGAAGCTTTTGACTCATACAGCAGAGGAGAACTAATGAAAGTAAGCTATGAGTTTAGGAGTTAAAAGGAAAAATTAACATGACGGGACATCTCTGACCACAGAATGTTTCTTAGGTCTTACGGCTTGTTGACGGCCTGCTTTGGCCTGTTGCACGGGTCCCACGCTAGCTGCCCGATCCTGGCTTTTTGCTAGGGATTCTCCGGGGTTCTCCGTGTCTGAAGAAAACGCCTCCTCCATCTGGCAATTTTTTTTCAGGTTTCAAGTTTTCAGGTTTCCTTTGTTGCTGGCGAGACCACGTAGCTTGGTCTGACCTCAGTGAAGTTGGCTTGAAGAAAAAGCTTAGCAGGAGCTAGCCTGTTCTTTAATTGTTTTGTGACTTGTAGATGTTGTGGTAGGTGAACTATGCTACATCGCTTGTTGTATACAGTAGGCTACAGTGCGGGTTTTACACTTTGATAGGGATTGTGTAGTAACATAGTTATGTGTATCAGATGTAATCTCTGTATGCATATGTTCATGTTTTGGATACTGATATATATTCTTATTCTGTCAAGCAAGCCTTGTGTGTTTATTCGAGGACTTTTGAATGTTAACTGGCTGTCTAGCTTTGCTCAAGAGACCGTATTGCAAGGGCAGCACAAGACCCTTACAAAAGTCAAACCACACGATTGGCTGAAATATGTTTCCAACTTTGGCTGGAAACATAGGCTAAAAAGCAGATGACTGGCTTACAAGCGGGGTGGGATAACCGCCATCTTTGGTGTTACAGGCTTTCCCTATAGAGTTGTATTGAGGATTCTGTAAGTGAAGTGTCTCCTCTATAAAATGTCTCTGTGCCCACGTGCCCCCAGACACACCTGGCAGAGATTTGCACCCTACTCAGTGCTCTTATTGAATCACAAATACCTTGTTTATCTCCTGACCTGTGGTCTTTGTTAATCTAGATTGTATTAGTTTAGTAAGTGGTAGATGACAAAATACATATTTTTAATCACACAGAAGAGAAAGGCAGGAAACGTGGGGATGAAAGAGGGGGAATAGCATCTAAAAATCAAACCACGTGTCGTGCTGTTACACGATACTCCTCATAAAATGGTCAGGTGGTGACAGCACATCTGTGATCTGGTTGATTGCTATCTGTAGATAATAAGTACTCGCATCACTTGTGATGACCTGATTTTGGTGTCTCTCTTGTCTACAGACAGCCAAGGCAGGACTGCTAGCAGTGAAAAGCAGACTACTGACCAGGACCCCAAGATCCTATGGGTCCTCTCATAGTGTCGAGTGCTTTCTGGTAATTTAATTATTTGCACACTTTTTTAATGAATTTTGAACCATAATATCAACTAAACCAGGCCCTGCAGTTTTGACTTAATATTTTGACCATATTTATAACAGGTTAATCTGACCATGAAGTTAGAAAACCTCAGTGTGTATATATATATTTATATATATTTATACTTAAATTGTATATATTCAATTATAAATTTGAATGTAAACAAGTGTCACAAGTGCCAACACATGTTCTATCAGAACACCCAGAGTTCTGTGACCTCACGCTGTGTCAGTGTTCCCTCCTGCAGACTGATCCAGAAGTTCAGTTTAGACCTGCTTCTCCACAGTGAACACTACAGAGACATTACCAGCACTAAACTACAAACGTTTAACCACAAGAGGAAAACACACTACTCCAACTGAGAAAACCTGAAGACAAAAGGTTCAGAACAGAAAGAAAGAAAAACAAAGCCAGAATAAGTAAAACCAGGTCACCTTAAAATGTCTGAACAGAGACTGGTAAGTAAATGCACTTTACAGAAGCTTAAGCGCTAAGTTGGTTTAGAGTTTAGAGATTAATTTGCACAATTTAAAACATATAAAAAGGTGATGAAGACGTTTATAGTGAAGGAAATTCTGTGAAACAGCAGCAGTGAGTGAGTTTCAGTGTGAGCTCGGGGACAGGCAGCATCAGTTCATCTGTCACAGACTAGATTTTTACAGGCATGACATCTGAACAATCACCAGACAACTTGTGTTGATGTATGCTTATTTAACCACATATGCTTATAAGTAAACTGATCACATGTAGAAATTCTGTATACTGTGACATATGATAGGGTGCTGTGCAATATGTATAAGATTTTATGTGTTCTTTTTTAAGGGATAACTCCCATACAAGAAAAAAAGAAATACAAGGAGGAAAATCACAAGAATTGATTTTGATAAAAATAAATCTATAAGCACAATTTAGAGTCATGATATATATAAAGTCACTATGAGTAATCATATGCACTGTTTGCAGTATGAACACATCAAATAGATAGATAGATAGATCTAGCTCATCTCACAGTTTTCCAATGTTTGTGTTTCTCCTCTAGATATCTGATTCAAGAAACATGGATAAAGAAGCAGAGGACATGGACAAAATCTCCAGCTCTCCTGCGTTCTCCAGAAACTCAGAGACCGCTGAGAATACCAACATCCCTGTATCAGGAACCAGTGATCAGACCGCTGAGGATCTTGATGATCTGATGCACTGTGATGAAATTCTAGATGACAAAGAGATCACTTGCCCTAGCATCGATCCCATCATGAGCCAGGAGAGCATATTAACGTGTTCCTCTTCTTGGTCTTCCGTGAGCATTGACAACATCTCAACAGGTTCTGCCTCCTGTGTCTCTTCTTCCTCCACCATCACCATCAGTGCCATCACAGAGGCAGGCAAAATGCTCGTCTCCTACGTGATTGACGAGGCTGTCAAGGCACTGCAGTCCACCGATGCTGCAAAGACACTGCAGTCCACTGAGGCTGTCAAAACACCGCAGTCCACTGAGGCTGTCAAAACACCGCAGTCCACTGAGGCTGTGAAGACACCACAGTCCACTGAGGCTGTGAAGACACCCCAGTCCACTGAGGCTTTAATGATGTCGCAGTCCACTGAAGCTCTCTTGACACAGCAATCCACTGAGGTAGTGAATACGCTGCAGTCCACTGAGGCTGTTAAGACACCACAGTGCAGTGAGGCTTTAAAGACACTGCAGTCCAGTGAGGCTGTAAAGACATTGCAGTCCACTGAGAAGAAGAAGTGGAAGAGGTGTTTCAGTGGATGGCAGAGAAAAAGTAATAAGGTAGCTCCACATGAAGATTTGGATCAGGAAGATGTAAGCAATTCTTTAACTCTTCGGGCCATCAACTCTGGTGACCAGGACGACGAAACCTTCAGCCAGACGTCTGTGGACTCCTCTCGGCCTGTTGCAGAGACCAAGGCAAAAAAGAGCAACTGCTTCTTACGCTTCTTCCACAATATCTTCTCAAAGGTAAGGATGTACTTACATGAAAAGTGCGACAACTTTAAAAGTACACAGAAATAGATATAACCAGGTATAACAGGTGGAACAGACCAGCAGAGACACTGTGAAGGAACTGTCTCAGGCAGCTCAACATCTCTGCTGCGTTCTTTCCTTCCCTTCATTCCATAATTAACCTGAATGCCAATCTTGAATCATACCCTGATTAGCTTTTTTTTGGACTGTAGATGTTTATTTGTGTTTCTGTACTGATGGTTTTTTATGACTTTCCCCAAAAGAATGAGAAGAAGATGAAGAAGGAGGAGGAGAAAAAGACGAAGCAACCTCCTTTTTGGAAATGGCAGTTGTGCAGAAGTTGTCTTGACATGTAAAGATAATAACGTCACACCATTTGTCTTTCTCTTAAACCCCCACTCCATCCCTGCCCCCTATTCCCTACTCCCCCCCAAAACCTTCTTGCCCCCTCAATGCCCCTCATTTTCTTATCCCCCAACCCTGCCTCCTCCATGCTTCTCCACAACCCCCCCCCTTCTCTAAATGCTTTCTGTAAAACTACTAATTGGCTTTAACAAACATTTAAAAATAAAGGCAGAGGATTTTAGACATGTCTGGACCACCGACACAGGATCCATCAGGTCAGAGGAGAGCATGACATTTGCTCCTGTGTCTCTTCTTCCTCCACCAACAGTGCCATCACTGAGCAGGCCAACTGCTCGTCTCCCATGTGATTGATGAAGCTCAAAAGACGCTGCAGTCCACTGAGGCTGCAATCAAGACACCAACCCCCCACCTCTACTCCCACATTTTTACCCCCTATATCCCCCCCATTTTCTCAACCTCCTCCTCATTTTCTCAACCCTCCACCCTCACTCCCACCTTCTTTCCCCTATATCCCCCCCATTTTCTCAACCTCCTCCTCATTTTCTCAACCTCCTCCTCATTTTCTCAACCCTCCACCCTCACTCCCACCTTCTTTCCCCTATATCCCCCATTTTCTCAACCTCCTCCTCATTTTCTCAACCCTCCACCCTCACTCCCACCTTCTTCTCCTATATCCCGCACATTTTCTCAACCTCCTCCTCATTTTCTCAACCCTCCACCCTCACTCCCACCTTCTTCTCCCTATATCCCCACATTTTCTCAACCTCCTCCTCATTTTTCAACCCTCCACCCCCATGTCTCTCTACCTCCCCTTCTTTCTGTCCACCTCTTCACCTGAACCTCTTTAGAATAAATATTTATAAATTTGTCCTGTGTTTTTACATTGTTTATCTGTCTGCTTTTCTAAATGAATACTGCATGTATCTATGGTTCTAGTACTTTACTGGACTAAGGGATAAAAGGAACATGACTTCTGTTGACATTTGAACCTTCCGTAACTGATAAAAAGGTGCTCACCCTGAATTTAAGCCACCTAACAATAAAACTTCTGACATGAAGAAAAGTCACAAAGGGAAAGTGAAAAAAAATCATAAAATCCTTCTTTCACAGTTGGCTGTCCAAAGATGGCGGACAATGCAACGGAGACCACGCTGAAGACCACACTACTGATGTAAGGAGTGGAGCTATAGACATCCAATGAAGTGGTGCCGGTTCAGATGAAGGCTGAGATTTGGACATAATTTAAGGAAATTAAGACATATCCTTGCTAAGTGGGGATATGAATGAACCAAAAGTTAGACATACTGCTATACATGACAAGCTAGCTGGTGGGCTAGCATGGCTTTGCTTGGCGCAGGCAAAAGCAGCCAGCAACTACAAAATAATGGGTAACAGTGCTGGAGCAGGCAGAACAAGCAATGACTAAGGAATGTAAGACTAACATATACCCCATATTACAGTAACGTACTTCCAGAAATCGAACAGTGAGTATCAAAAATTGCCAAAAAATTTATCTATGCAATTTGGCTTTTGAAAATATCATTCCACTGAAACAGCTGTTTTCTTTAGGAAAATATATTGGCTAAACTGGACCAAGGAGGTGTAGTTGGGGCGGTCTTCCTTGATTTGAAGAAAGCCTTTGATACAGTTTAATTTTTCATCCAGTATCATCAAATGGCTACAGTCGCAACTTTTAGATACAATGTGTTCGCATAGACCATAAAATTTCCTAAATGACTGATAATGACTTAGGTCTACCACAAGGTTCAACCTTGGGTCCTCTGTTGTTCTGTCTGTATATTAATGACCTACCTGAAGTTTGCCCTTCTGCAGTAACTTGTCAGATGCACACTGATGATATGGTCATATATGTACATGCAAAAAACAAGAACCAAGTAGCTAAGAACCTATCAGCTTCTATGGTCAATATCTCTAATTGGCTAACAAACTCTTTTTTACATCTTAATGCCAGCAAAACTGTATGCATGTTCTTTTCAAAATCTGCAAATAAAGATCCAGTCCCAGAGGTTACTGTAGCAGGAAGAACACTGACATGTAAATCTCAAGTTAAAAAAGTTGTAAACAGGATTAAATTCAATTTGGTAAATTTTTGACACATTAGGAGTAATTTAACTACAGAGGCCTCAAAGTTCTACATCAATGCTGTGATATTGTCACATATGAACTACTGTATGACCAGCTGGACACAGAAAGGAAGGACTGCATTATAGTCAGTAGAAACAGTTTAGTGGGCTTTGAAAAAAATGGATAAGTCAAATTCATATTATCACTGTAACATTTTAAAGAAGCATGTTTTTTTAAACTGGGAAAATATGGTGAAATTTGCTGATATCTTGCTTGTATAAAAAAGTTCCATGGTTTAGCCCCCCTCCACTCAATGAATTTGTTACACAACACCTTAACTCATCCACCAGAGCTACTTCCAGAGGTGACTGTAAAATACCATAGAGGAAAAGGTCCTTCGGACAGTCAGCCTTTTCCTACCGAGCAGCGCATACCTGGAATACGATATCTACAGAATTAAGAAACATTTCTTCTCTTACTACCTTTTCAAAAGCTATAAAATAGTGGTTACTGGACAATCAAACATGTAGTCATAATGTGCAGTAATGCTTTTGTAATTGTTTTTATATATTCCTGTACTCACGAGGTCGAGGTATTCTACGTGTCATATTATTTGTGCTTGTATGATTTTGTCTGTGCTTATGTAATTTGTGTTTTAATGTTTTGTCCATGCTTCTGTGATTTTAAGTGCATATTGTTTTTTTAATGTTGTCTGTATGCCATGTTTTAATGTTCTTATAACATCAATCTGCCAGGGACTCCAGATGAAAATTAATCTGTATGGCTAAATCTGGCTCATTTACATTTGGGCATGTTCATTAATGTGAACTGTCCCTTTTAAATAAAAAAAATAAATAAATCAATAAATAAATGGTTTTAAATTGACCAATACGCAACTGCTGTAATCAGATGCTCTAATAATTCCCAAACCTTTGACTTTTGACATTTACTGCTACTGACATTTCTGCAAAAACCTGATATGGGCCAATATAACGCCTGTCCAATTTTTCTAAGACTTAAGACATAGGCACAGGAAATTGGATGAAACGAGTGCTGAACAATTTTTCGTTCTTGATACTTATATGGTCCCAATGCCTTTTAACACCAACCAGTCATAGATCCAGGGCTTCCTTGTATTTTCCAGGCCAGTCATGATCACTATCAACAGATTATCAAGAATAAGGTAAGCCTGTTAGTGTTTACAGCACTGCCCTGTGAGTGTATGGGAACACAAACCGGTCCCTGTTCACTCAATTTGTTGACAGGCTAGAATGAGGGTGCATTTGATAAAGGGGAGTAAAGCGTCTCCAGTGACCTGTCAGGAATAGGGTCCAGTCCAACTTGACAGACACGAGATCCTCTTTGACGTGTCCATTGTAGGGGCTTGACGCCTGAAGAAAACTCTTGTTGTTGGTGTTGGTCCGTTTTTGATAAAAGCAATTCATTTTGAAATCATGAATGAGTATTTGTTGTAGTTTGCTGCCCCTGTCCCTGTAGCTAAGAAACTCACCAGAAACTGCAGACCATCCTTTTTTCTCTCGCCTCTGTGCTATTGTCAATGTCCACCACTGATTCTGCGTGTCTATGATACACTGCAGTTTGCTATTGGGTTGCAACACAAAGGAGGCTAACCCTTTGCAATTGCCTGGTGCAAATTAAGAGTCCATTCACGTCCACTCACATTCACGTCCACTCACTCGCAGTTGTTTCACCTCTAAAATTCATTTTGACTTCTTAAGATATTTGCCTGCTTGCTGTTGTCTTTGTAAGTCCATTAAAAAAAAGGATTTGTTAAGTGTATACGTGTGTTTTAGAAGAAATACTAACTTTACACTTTAGAGAAAGAAAAGGATGTGGTGGCTTTGTCCAGGGTATGGCTCATTTACAAACAGGGGAAAACACAGGTGTGTGACGCTGCAAATCTTTACAGGCGGCGCACACACACACATCCACACACACAAATACCCACACAGACAAAAAAAGAAGCCCACATATTGGAAACCCGTGACATCACTAGCACTTTACCTACCATTGACATGCTCCTATTTATGCACAGACGGCTGCTGCATGCCACCAGGACATAAACACACACTTTTACGCACCACACCCTTACACACGCCCCTTATACACACACACCCACACACACACAGGCACTCACTCCACCCGATACACACCCTTGCCACCACCTATTTACCCACCCAGCGCCACAAACAGTCACCATGTCTTTCACACAACACACACCTCTCAACCTGCCCAACAAACACATAGCAACCCAAACACAAGTGTGTGTATTGGTATGTGTGTCTGTGTAGTGGAAACTTTCATTGGTCTAGAGGTGTCACCTTCCAGACTGACGCATGTTCTGGAGGTTTCCTACTTGTTGCCGGTCTTTCCCCTCCTCTCTCTTTTAACACTTTCACTCTGTCTTTCTTTGGGTTATTCTCTCTGCTCACACCTCTTTCTCGCAGTACACTTTTAATTTTGTTTCTTAACTGTCAAAAGGATGTACCAGATGTCATCAACATGCCGAGTTCTCGATTCATTGAAATAAGTGAGAATAAAAGCGTCGGTTTTTGCTCTGGTGCTCCATGTTGACACTTGAGCATGTAACGCTGAGTGACAAGAGTTGAGTCACATGTTCTCAGAAGTCAAATCAAAAATATTAAACTTTATAATTAATATATGTGGCCTGTCTGACAGCTTTGAACATTGGTAAATTCACATGCAATATATAAAAAAACATTTCCCTATTTTCTCCGTTTGCAACCAAAACTGGTGTGGTTAAAAATCATCCTGACTCACAAAAATACATGATGGTTCATTGAAAATTGTTCTAGAAATATACCTGAAAGGATCAGCCACATTAGATAAGTATCCCAAAACATTTTATTGATTATATATGGAAATGTCTTTTATACTGTTCTTTATATTAGGGCTGCAACAAACGACTGTTTTGCTAGTC